GCTCGCCGCCCCCTCCGCCCACCTCCCCGCCCGCCTCCCCGCTCCGCGCAGCCACCACCCTCGCGTCTGCCGCGCACACCGACCCTCTCCGCGCGAGACCCCGTGGGAGAGGCGACCCAGCCGGCGTGGTCACTCTGTCCTGTTCTCCGTCCCCTGCCCCCTCGCTCACTCGCTCCCGCACATGCTCTTTGCGCTTGCGGGGTCGTGCGCAGTGCGGCAGGCCGGCCCCCCTGCCCTGGACCTCCCGCACCCTCGTGAAGGTAGCGCACGTTTGACCGCGTTAGTTTTTGCTCGTCCCCCGCCCCACGGGACTGTAAGTTTCAGGGGGCACCTTTCTGTCCCGTCCAAAACCGGAGCCCAGGTTGCAGATCAGCAACACCGAGGACAGCTGGATGAACACGGTGGGGGGGCGTCGTTCTGACCCTTTAAGGTCAGACAGGTGGACCTCGGGACGGTCGGTTAGGTCCCAGCGCTGTTCTTCCTGCCTCCCGTTTTCTCAGTGGGACGGAGGTGGTGCTGTCTCCTAGGGCCGTGCAGGGATCTGGTCAGTCCGAATGCACGCGAACAGTTGTGTCTGGTGGCACACGCATGTTTGCTGCCGCAGACAGCAGAGGTTCTCAGCGTGGGGTCCCGGTGCATCAGCAGCCTCACTGGAAACTTACTAGAAATGCACGTTCTCAGGCCCCCGTGCACCTACTGAGCAGAGACACTGGAGGTGGGGCCCAGCAATCTGTTTCAACGAAGTGAACTTGAGTACTGTCTTCACACTGAGTAAGGAATGGCTTAGACAGTCCCCCTTGGACACCCGCCCCCCCCCACCCCCACCTTTCCCGGTTTACCCACTAGCCCTGGTTTCCTTGCAGTGTTCAGATCGCCCTGTGCCTGGAACAGACCCTGCTGCTCCTCGCCAGCCAGGTCCTCTGAGCCCCGTGCCCTGCTCTTCCCTTAAGACGGTTCACCCCCCTGAAACTTCCCCCTTGAGTTTTAAACTGTCACACAGCGGTGCTCACTTCGGCAACTCTCGTCATCCACCGCATGGATCCTGAGCTGTTTGCTCCAGTGTCTTCTCATCTTCATATTCTCGGCACCTTAAAAGTGTCACTTCTAATGTAGAAAGAAGCTGGCACTTAAGAGCTCAGCCCTGGCTCGCTGCTGTGCTGCTGTGAGCCTGTGCTCCTGAGTAGAAAACACTTCTGTTTACTTTTACAGAAAACGTTTTAATTTAGTCAGAATTGCTGCTGGAGGTGTGGACATAATGTGTGTGGTTCTTCGGCATCTGTCTTCTTGTGTTTTCTTGTTGCAGCTCTGGATTAATCGGATTTCAGCCGCCTCCCAGGAGCACGGCTTGAAGTACCCAGCTTTCATCGTCGGCCTAATCAAGGTAAGGGTGCAGATGGGGTCCTGCTGAGAAGCCGGCCCGGCAGCATCCTGACGCGGCTCTCATGCTCTGGGTGGAGTTCTGGCAGGTTCACAGACTCGCCCTTGCCGTGATGGTGGCAGAATTGAAAATGGACATGGGGTAACAAAACAGGCCCGGCGTTTCCCTGTCTAAAGAAGCAGGGAGAGAAACTTGGCTTTAGCTTTAGCTTTGAAGTCTTCACACTGAATGAGATCTGATGAGGCATAGATAAAGTCAGAACTCCTACAGTCAAAAAGGAAGGGGGCCAAATATATGGTGACAGAAGGAAATTTAACTTGGGTGGTGTAGACACAGTGCAACGTACAGGTGACATTATCGAATTGTACACTTGAAACAATTTTATTAACTGATGTTACGCCGTAAGTTTCATAAAATTAAGAAGAATGTCTTGGAGGGAACAGATTAAGCATGTGTCACAAAGTGTCGGTGACTTTCATCTGGTGACGATGCCATTTCCTCTGCTTGTGCGTGCATTTACGTGTTTTCTTCACAAGTTAAGGGGAGTGGCTGCTGGGCCTCTGCCTGGTACCAGGCCCTCTTCGGTACTTTACAGAGGTCCTCAGGGTAAGTGTAGAGGTGACATTCTCAATTTACCGATGGTGAGCCAAGGCTCATAAAGGAGAGGGGCTTCACCCAGGTGGCAAGAGAGGCGCTGCCCCTTCTGCACAGCTGCGTTTCATTCGTGGCGACCACCCGCCTTTCCTCTGTGCCTCAGACCCGCAGAGTTCCTCGGCTCTGAAGTCACTTGCAGTTTCCCTTGGCGGATGACTTGTCGTCTCTTTCTTGTGAGGACTGGGAACACCCAGTGTGCTCCCTGTTTCCTCTGCTTGTGCCTCACGTGCCTGTTCTGTCGTTTCATTGTTTGTAAATGGGAAACGTGATGTTGTCTTCTGACCTGACTTAAAGGGTCACCCCAGGCCAGCAGTCCCTAGTTCTGTCTGGGTGGTGACCATTGACCCTAAACAGGGTACTTGGCTTCCAGACATCAGGACTGGATGCCAGCCGCCTCTCCCACGTCACCTCCTGCAGGGACACGCTCCCTTCTTTGTCCACACCCGTCCTCCAGACTCCTGCTCGGATGAGACTCACCACTCCCACCCCCACCCCCCAACCCCCACTGCTCGTCTCACCTCCCTGGGCAGCTCTGGGTCCCGTGAGGGCAGAGACTGCCCAGCAGGAGCGCTGCAGTGCGGCTGCCTCCGTGGCGTGGTGGGCTCACACGGGCTCATCTTCTTCGCAGTGCCAGGTGGAGCTTAACAGGAAAGTGCTCGCAGATCTAGCCATCTACGAACCAAAGACTTTTAAATCTTTGGCTGCTTTGGCCAAAAGGAGGCGACAAGAAGGATTTGCTGCTGCCTTGGGGGACGGGAAGGAACCTGAAGGCATATTTTCCAGAGTGGCTCAGTACCGCTGAGGGGACCCCGACACCACCTGCCCTTTGTCGCTGAGTGTCTTAGGACGATCTAGCTGTAGAAGGACTGACAATCACGGCCAGTTTTGATTTGCAGTCATGTTAACATTTCAGTGACAGTGTGAGAGGAAAGGTCCTGCCTTCCCTCGTTGGGACAGACTGGAAATAAAGGTTGTGCGAATAAAGTGTGTGGCGGTCAGTTCTCTGGCACCAAGCGAACTCCTTGGGTGCACTCTGCCTCGTGTGCCTGGTGCTTGTCGCCATCTGGCGGAAGAGGCGGCCAGGGCGAGGGACAGGTGAGCTTGTGCGTCCTCGCGGAACCTCAGCTCCTCCCCTGCAAGAGGGCTGTTTGCACCAGAACTCGGCACTCAGGCTCCTTTCTGGGCCGTGAGGGTGGCCCGTCCAGCACCCAGCCCCCCAGCCCCAGTCTGGCCCCACCTGTGCCTGACTTTGCCCTTCCCAGCAGGGACTCCGTGACTCAGCTCTTCTGGCAGTCTGAGTGCCAGCCTCAGTTTCCCCACTGCTTCTCTCCCTCCCCAGCCCAGGAGGGGCAGCAGGCAAGGTGGCTCTTCTGGGCCCTGTTACCTTAGCCCCGTGGGGCTGGTTCCAACCTTGGCCTCACTCATTTGCATCTTGAGCCCCTCTTGGCCTCGCTCTGGTCTCTGCCTCTAGGCCCCCTGGCATTGGGTGTGCAGTTGGCCCCACCGTGCCCCAACAGCTCTCACCAAAGCTGTCTGTCTCCTGGAAGCAAACCCAATGGACATTGTCAGCTCTGGACCCTTCCCTCAGAGACCACGCATTCCCTTCCCACCGCTCCCCAGGGCCCTGCCCTCCACTCTCTCATACCATCGGCCAGGAGAGCTCTTCAGTGCCACAGTAGCACTACTCTGCTTGCTGACGACTCCTGCATCTAGCTGGCAGTGCCCACCTTCCCCCCACCCCATGCTCCCATGCTGGGTCCTGTGGCGACACCATCCTGCATCCTTTGCCAGCAGTCCCTTGGGGATCATATTGGGTTCGTTCCGCCGACTCAGCACCCACTTCCAACCGTACACAGCCAATCAAATCCTGGCCATCTGCCTGGTGAGCTCTCAAAATGTTCACTTTTCACCATCGTCACTGCCATCTAGCATCTCTTCTGGTTCCAATTGCTGCACTGGCTTCCTAAGACTCCTAGCTCTTGTCACTGTGTCTGATGACAGCCACTAAGTAGACCAGAAACATTTCAAGGCCCTGGGGATGAGCCTTGTTCAGCTTTTTTGTTGCACCTGGCTGTATGCACAAGGTGCTCAATGCACATCGCTCATCAGTAAGTAGCCACTGAATGGGCAACAGGGTGGAGGATACAAAGAGCCCTTCGCTGCATGTGTGGGGCTGCCTTTTCTTGATCAGTAAAGGATAATGGGGATATGGCAAAGAAGCGTGGGCTGGCCCCAGCACCCACTCCCTCTCCAACCCACTCCCTCTCCAACTGTCCCCAGTTCCGGGCCTGGCCCTGACTGGCTAGAGCCATCAGTTTTTACCTATCTCTGGCCACTTGCTGTGTAGGGGATGGACAAAGAGCCAGGTAGGGCAGTGAGAAACAAGCTGTTTCCTGCGGTTTCCATGCAAGAGGAAATCCCGCCTTTCCCACCATTCTCACATGGCCACTAGCCCTGCTGAAAGTTTGGGTTAAGTGTAACAACAGGTAACTAATACTGCGTCTGCTCCTCTACTACAGGTGTGTTAGCACTGCTGTCAGGTGACTTAAAAACCATCAGAAGTTGGCAGTCACTAAACTGGAGAGCGCTGGTATAGCCGATGAGGCATGGAGAGTCAGTGAAGTCAGGAGGGGTTCCCGCTGCTTGCAGGATAAAGTCCAAGCTCTTTACCACTGGTGCCCAGGGTTTCCCAGCCTCCCTCCCCTACCCCTCATTCCCTGGAGGAACTCATGCCTTTCCTTGTGCTGCCATGGGTTTTGTAGAAACATCGAGTTCAACGTTTCAGCTGCTCTCTCCTGTGGGCTCAATTCTGAAGGCAAGGATTTTGGTAATCTGGTGTTAATATTTGTACCCAAACCTAGACTCGCTTAAGACTGGAAAGTAATGACGACAGCTGCCAGTATTAATTCAGACAAAAAGAAAAAGAGCCCTCTAAACGGATCCCGAATAAAGCCCATAACTTCAGAACGCAGAGCAGAAGCTGGGATCCAGGAGAAAACGTCAACCCCCGAGCCGGGGAGAAAGCGGGCTTAGGTGGCTCTGTGGGCGCCCCGCCCGTTTGCTCCCCAACCCTGGAGCTGCGGGAGTCTTCTCTGGATCCTGGGCGACCCCAAATGCGCCGAACGTAAACAAAAAGCCGGCCAGGTATTTCCTTGGCAATAAGGATTTATTGGGGATGGGGGGAGACTGCATCCGGAACGTTGCAGCCCCAGCGAAGGTTCTGCCCGGAGGAAAATGGAGGAGACACCTCATCGAGGGGAAGAGGAAGTCAAGGGGCGGGAGCTCCCCCCACCACACGAGTGTGAGGGCGCCTTCCGCACGTCCGTCCCATTCCGATCTGGGTTAAGGTCTGTCATCAATTTTCACACTCTCCACCACCTCCCAGGGGGCCTCCGAGGCCTCACCCTTCCACTCAAGCCCTGGACCCCTAGGCTCCCATTAGGTTCGTGGGACGCAATTCGGCGGAAGAACAGCCACCAACCACTGCGCCCTGGGGGCGGATCGTCGCGCCCAGCCTGCTGCCCGCGAACCCCCTTGGGATCAGCGAGACATCGTACCCCCCACCCCCGCCCCAAGGAGCCTTGGCACTGCGATGTGGGCGTCGCGAGCTCGCGGCTCTTTGTGAGGAAAGTGCAGACGCAGCGGAAGGCCTGGGGCAGCACCTGGCAGCTAGTGCTTCCGGGTTAAGGTCCAGTCCGCGGCGTCGCCGGGGCGCCGCGGGTTCCCCTGGGTAACAAGCCTTCCTCCGCCCACGCCGGGTTCCGGCGTAAGCCACGACGCTGACGGGCAGGCCTCACAGCCAATCGTGGCAAGGCGGCGCCGGGCCGCCCGCAGGTCGAACCAATGGCTCGCGGTTGGGCGGGGCGGTCGCGGCCGTAGAGCGTCGCGAGAAGCCGCCCTGTCGGGAAGGAGCCCGAAGAGGAGTCGGCGGCACAAAATGGCGGCGGCGGCAGCGGCTGCGACGGCAGTCA